GGGGGGGGGGCTTTGAAAATTTTACTTGTCTTAAGAGGGGGGCAACGAAAAAATGTTATAACTGTAGAGTTTCTCCTCAGTCTTCCCCTGTATAATAAATAATGAGCAGTCCCTTATTACCTTATAATCGGATAAAAATATATTTGAAAGTTTTACGAGTCATTATTACCTTTTTCAAAAACGCATTCTTGGATTTATTCTTAGCGTACAAAAAACAGTCTCAGAGAACAGTTGAAAAAGTTCTGTATTTTGCCGTATCCACGACAGACGCTGGGAAAGCAGGACGGTGGCTGAGGTGGGGAAGTGCCCCCCAGTACCACCCGCTCGAAAATAAAATTGAAATTATGCCCCCTCCCTCACGTTTTACAGAACTAATAGCTGTTAATTTTTGGGCTAAGTACCGAAATTTGGTATGAAAAATTGAGATAAAGGACCTGGAAACCAACAATGTACTCGTCCGGAAAATTTTTTGTCCGGGGGGGGAGGTCGTTGTCAGAAAAAAAATTTCAACCCCTCATCTCAAATCCTCTGTTACATTCTTTCTGCAGTGCCCCCCCCCCAGAAATTGAGAGCCAGCTACTGGCTTGTGGGAAAGGGTATTTTCGTGAGCCATGAAAGGTGAATATTTGTTCGTGTGCGGACATGTGAAATGCTTCATTTTAGTGTCGTGAAATGTGATTTGTTCTACAGCCGTCAGGCCTGATTGTTGATAAAAATGTGAAATGAGAATTAAGGATGCCGTGATTGTGAACTGTGATTATTATAGTGATTATTATAATAAACATGATACGCGATAATCAAATTTATATCATCTCACTCGATTGCACAAGAGTAAAAACTTCGGAGGCCTTTCGCGAGGTTCTTGACGCTAAGAACAAGGTTCCTGACGCTGAGGACAAAGTTCCTGACGCTGAGGACAAGGTTACTGACGCTGAGGACAAGGTTATTGATGCTGAGGACAAGGTTCCTGACGATGAGGACAGGGTTCCTGACGCTGACGCTGAGGACAAGGTTCCTGGCGGTGAGGACAAGGTTCCTGGCGTTGAGGAGAAGGTTCCTGGCGGTGAGGAGAAGGTTCCTGGCGATGACGACAAGGTTCCTGCCGGTGAGAACAAGGTTCCTGGCGGTGAGGACAAGGTTACTGGCGGTGAGGACAAGGTTCCTGGCAGTGAGGAAAAGGTTCCTGACGCTGAGGACAAGGTTACTGACGGTGAGGACAAGGTT